GAGTTGCCGGACATGGAAAAAAAAAAAAAAAAAAAAAATTTTTACAAAAGTAGCATATAGACAATGCTTATAAAGTAAACTGAAAACTGAATTTAGTTGTTTCCTCACTGATGAAAGAATCTATAGAGAAACTAATTGGATGAAAATGTTTGACAAAGTATTTTCTAGTGGAGGACTGGTTAAATAAACTAAGGATTTAACTAAGCAATGAAATACTACTATATTGTAGAAAAGAATGAGGATACCCCCTGCTCACTGATATGGAAACACCTCTTAATTATGTTAAGTGAGAAAAAATCAAGGTGTCTAAGAAAGGATGAAAAAACAACCATGTATATTTTATTTGCTTGAATATGCTAAAGAAACTGTAGAGATACAAAAACAAGTAATAAAAGTAGTTAACTTGGAATTGGGGTGGGGAAAAGAGTTGGGAGAAACAGGGTGACTAGACATAAGAGTAGGAATATACTTTTCACTGTTTTAATATAATTTAAAAAAATATTCAACAACATGGATATTTTAACTACCGAGAATAAAAATAGTTTAAAAAAATTAAGGAGATATAAAATTAAGCAAGTTAACAATTGTATTTTTTAGACGAGCTGCAGTTTATTGACTGGGAGATCAACAGTGACAGGGAAGAGGCTGGTGAATGGAGTGAATTTGAAGATGACGAGCATGCTACGGAAATCTCAGACTCTGCTTCTGATGCAAGTAGTCATTCTTTGACAAGTGATGAGAGGCTATCCGAGCTTCCTAAGGTAAGAACTAATTATTTTAGAAACTTTTATTTTTTTTATAGCATTCAGTAATCATAGCCTTTTGTTGTTGTCCCCCCCGCCTTCCTCCTCAGGGACAATCACTTTTGACTTTTAATGGGTTCCTTTTTTCTTTACTCCCTTATCTATGAATAGCATGTTTGTACTGTGCTTGTAAACATGGATAAATATTGAGCCCTCTTCTCACCCACTCCCCACCCCAACCACACACTGAACTTTTCATGTCCTTCCATTCTCCCAGTACAGATATATCAAGTTTGGTTAGATTAGTATTCAGCATTTACATACTTAGGAATAAATAATATTGATATCCAAGGTTAATATTATTGTTATTTTTCTGCCATGACTTTTTGTTTTCTCTGGACTTAACAATTATTATTATTATTATCTTTTTGTTTTCTCTGGACTTAACAATTATTATTATTATTATTATTATTATTATTATTATTATTATTATTATCTTTTTGTTTTCTCTGGACTTAACAATTATTATTATTATTATTATTATTATTATTATTATTTTTTTTTTTAACTTAGTTTTACCTACCATTAATTAAGTCCTAATTTTTTTACCATTTTCTATCTCTGTTGTTGAGATTTTCAGACATAGCAAATGTTCTGTCAGTTTTACTTTCTTGGAGAATTCTTTTCTACAGCCTCCTAGCTGCTCTAATTTGAACTTAGCATCCTCTCTGCTGTGTGGGCATTGTCAATCTGGGGTCTCCCTTAACCATCACTCTGGGAATTAGTTTCTCTCTTTCCTGCATGGAACTCTTTTAACCTGGATTTCACGTTTTCCTCTTTCTTGGTTTTCACCTTTGCTTCAGTTGAAAACATCTTTCAGTAGCTTCTGAGAAATGATTTATGGAAGATAATTTTTTGAGACTTGGTGTGTCTGAAATGATTTTATCGTTCTTTGATACGTGATTGAAAATTTGTGTAGAATTACAGGTTCTTCAGAGTTTTGAAGTCATTGCTTCATTGTCTTTTAACTCAAGTTGCTGTCAATTAGTCTGAAGCAATTCTCATTCTTGATCTTTTAACATGTTCTCTTTGTTGCTGGTTTTAAAGCAATTTGTGATATGGCTTGGTATGGTTTTCTGCTTGGTGGTGTTTGTAAAACTTTTTGGATTTGTGGTGTTTGGGAGGTCAACAAGAACATCCCCAAGGTTTAATAATTTGCTGTGAAGACATTGAGGATTTAGTATATAGTCATACTCATGGCTATGTTTTATTGCAATGAAAGGATACAAAGCTAAATCAGCTTCTATGAATTGATCCTTTCCCAGTGCAGTTACACAGGATGTGCTTAATTCCTCCAGCAAAGAGTTTTGACAGCACGTGTAAAGTGTTGCCTACTTCATTAGAGATTCAATGCCAAGGGGGTTTTTATTAGGGGCTGGTAACATAGGCCCCCCCTGCCTAGCATGTACCCAGATTCTAGACTTCCAGAAGGGAAACAGGTGTTCAGCATAAGCCATATTGTTTTCACAGTTTAGGCATAGCGAGCCACTCTTACAATTTAGGGAATGATGGAAATCCTTCTGAAATCTGTTTCCAGAAGTTAGGCAAGGACCACCTTGCAACCAGGGCTTTCTAAGGCTACCCATCTCACGCTATGTTAACTCTTCTACACATGTAACTTTATAGTTTTCATCACATTTGGGAAATGTTCGGCTTTTATTTCTTCAAAATTATTTTTCTGATTCCCCTTTTCCTTTCCTTTTGGCATTGCAATTACATGTACATTAATTAGGCTGCTCGATGTTGTGTCATAGTTCATTTATGCTGTGTTCATTTTTTTCCCCCTCTTGGTTTTATTTTGGATGGTTTCCGTTGCTACATTTTCAAGTTTAATAACCATTTTCCCCCTGCAGTGTCTAATCTGCTATTAGTACAATCCAGTGTATTTGTTATCTCAGACATTGTATTTTTCATCTTGACAAGTTTGATGAGTCCTTTTTATATTGTCCATGTCTCTTCTTAACACTATCAGTCTTTCTTCTATATTTTGAATATATATAGTATATTTATAATAGCTGTATTTAATGGCTTTTTCTATAAATCTATTATCTGTATCATTTCTCTGTTTCTTTTGATTGATGTTTCTCTTCATTATGGGTTGTAATATTCTGCTTTTTTGCATGCCTGGAAATATTTTAATAATAGCTGTATTTAATGGCTTTTTCTATAAATCTATTATCTGTATCATTTCTCTGTTTCTATTGATTGATGTTTCTCTTCATTATGGGTTGTAATATTCTGCTTTTTTGCATGCCTGGAAATATTTTAAAAAATTTTGAAACATACACTACTATTTATTATAGTCACCATTCTGTGTAGTAGATTACTAAAGCTTATTTCTTCTGTCTAACTGAAATCATGTACACGTTGATCAACATCTTCCTTTTCCTCACTCACCCTCCTCCTCCCCCAGCCCCTGGTTATCACTATTCTACTCTCAAATTTTCTGAGTTTTACTTTTTTGGATTCCATGTACAAGTATAAGTGAAATCGTGTGGTATTTGTCTTCAGTGCATGGCTTATTTCACTTAACATAATGTCCTCCATGTTCACCCATGTTGTTGCAAATGACAGAATTTCCTTCTTTTTTAAGGCTGAATAGTATTCCATTGTGTATATATACATTTTCTATATCCATTCTTCAGTGATGGACACCTAGGTTACTTCCGTATCTTAGCTCTTGTGAATAATGCTGCAATGAACGTGAGAGTGCAGATATCTTTTCTGCATACTGATTTCAATTTCTTTGATTATATTCCCAGAAGTAAGATTGCTAGATCATATGGTAGGTCTAATTTTAGTTTTCCGAGGAAGCTCCATAGAGTTTTTCATAAGGGCTGTGTTAATTTACATTCTCACCAACAGTGTACAAGGGTTCCCTTTTTGCTAGACTTCACCAACAGCACTTGATGTCTTTCATCTTTTTAATGAAAGATATCTCACCATTCTGACAGGTGTGGGGGATATTTCATTTTGGTTTTAATTTGCATTTTCCTTATGACTGTTGATGATGAGTATTTTTTAATACGTCTGTTGGCCATTTGTATGTCTTCTTGTGAGCCATGCCTATTTAGGCCCTTTGCCCATTTTTAAATTGGGTTCTTTGTCTTATTGCTGTTGAGTTGAGTTCTTACGTATTTTGGATATTTGCCCCTTATCAGATCTATAGTTTGCAGTGTTTTCTCCTAATTTGTGGTTGTCTCGTCACTCTAAATTTTTTCCTTTTTTGCCTTTTTGTCTTTTTTTGTGTCCGGCAACGGGCCGCAACCCTCAGTGTCGCGCCTGTACCGGACCGGGACCGGCAACGGGATCGCAACCCTCAGTGCTGCGCCCGCCCCTCGCTCAGCCAGTGAGCGGGAACCGGTCTGTATGTGGGATCCGAACCCTCGGCGGGAGCGCCACCGTGCTCCCAAGGGGCGCACTGTAGCAGTGTGCCACCGGGCCAGCCCTAAATTTTTTCCTTTTTTGTAAACAAGCTTTTTAGTTTGATTCTATCCCATTTGTTTATTTTTACTTTTGTTGCCGGTGCTTTTGGGGGGCTGGTCATATCTAAGAAATCTTTGCCCAAACCAGTGTCATAGAACATTTCCCTATATTTTCTTCTAGTAATTTTACAGTTTCAGATCTGACCATTAGGTCTCTAATACATTTTGAATAGATTTTTGTATATGGTGTGAGATAAGGGTCTAAATTTGTTCTTCTGCATTTGAATCATAGTTTTCCCAGCACTGTTTACTGAAGAGACTGTCCTTTCCCCAGTGTGCTCTTGGTATCTTTGTCAAAAATAAATTGACTCTAGATGTGTGGGTTTATTTCTAGGCTTTCTATTTTGTTCCACTGGTCAATGTGTCTCTTTTTATGCCAGCACTGTGCGATTTTGATTACTATAGCTTTGTAGTGTATTTTGAAGTCAGGTAGTGTTACGCTAGTTTAGCTCTTCTTACTCAAGATTGCTTTGGATATTTGGGTATTTGTGGGTCCATACAAATTTTAGGATTGTCTTTTCTATTTCATTGAAAAATGATGTTGGAATTCTGATAGGGATTGCATTGAATCTGTAGATAACTTTCAGTTGTATGGACATTTTAACAATATTAATTCTTCTGGTTCATGAACACAGGATAATCTACTATTTCTTTCATCAGTGTTTTATAGTTTTCAGTATACAGTATTCAGTATTCCATGGTTAAATTTACTCCTAAGTATTTTATTATTTTTGATGTTATTGTGAAAGGGTTGATTTCTTAATTTCTTTTTCAGATAGTTCATTGTTAAAGAAATGCAATTGAGTTTTGTGTGTTGACTATGTATCCTGCAACTTTATTGAATTTGTTTATCAGTTCTAGAAGTTTTTGGTGGAGTCTTTAGGGTTTTCTGTTTATAAGATTGTGTCACCAGCAAACACAGACAATTTCATTACTTCCTTTCCAATTTGGATGACTTTTATTTCTTTTTCTTTTTTTTTTTTTTTTTGTCTTCCGTCTTTTTCCGTGTCCGGCAACGGAT